GAAGCACTGAAAGCCATACGTGCAGACCGTGGTGACAAATGCCCAGTGCTCCGTGCCCTTCCCACCCGCTGCAGCTCCCCGAGTTACCTCTGGCAAGGTGTCTGCAGAATCTGAATCTCTGAGGGTGGGGACAGGAGACACTTCTTAATTAAGGCTTATGAAAACCCCCGCAGGTCTGAAAAATCCAAATGCTGTTTGAATGCTGACCACGGTTGAGAGCACACCACCTCTGGGGTGGGCTTCAGTGCCACGGAATTTTTGCCTTGGGGGACAGAGGTCAGAGGGAGAGGGAGGGAGAGGATGACAAGCAGGCTACATGACCAGCACACAGCCTGACACGGGGCTCAATCTAGTGACTGTGAGATCTTGACCGGAGCTGAAATCAAGAGTCAAATGCTTAACCGACTGAGCCACCTAGGCGCCCTTTTAATTGTTTTTTTTTTTTTAACATGTTATGCCTAAGTCCACCACCTTAAAACTTGAGTCCACCTGATCTAAATTTTTGTCTTCTGCGACTGCCACTGACTCATCTCACCTGGAAACATGTCTTTCCCTTCTGCATACTGACCATTTAAACACCTGAAGCCAATGGCCTGGTCTCTACTCAGGTCAAAACAGCGGTTCCTCATACTCCAATTCAATGCTCCATTTGGGTAACTTTCACAAGGTGGTGTGTCACAGGCAATGGAGGTGACCCTCCCACTGAACCTGATAGGTGTGAGGTGCCACCTCCTGGGACACGCCCCACCGGGCACACCAGGCTACATTCCACACAACCCCCATCCTGGCCCAGCCTGGTCACCTGCACACAAATCACTGCTAAGCCAGGTCTCCTCAATTTGGTTCTTGTGCCATTGATTTTTTTTTTTTTTTTTAACTTGGGGGGGTGGGGTGCTGTTTTCACCCATCACCTTTCATCTCCTGGTTCCAGTAGGGTGTTCTAGCTGTAGAGCAGATGCAGAGTATTGATTCTGTCAGTCAGCACATCAGCGCTCCCTAATGACTCTGTGTCATCTGCAAATTTGATAAGCATGCCTCTGATGTCTTTATCAAGCCACTGGTTCTACTGTTCAACAAGTCAGGGGGCGGCAGTCCACCAGGGACCCCCACCCGGGACAACATGGATCCACTCGTTTATCCAACTCGGGGGCTACTGGTGCTCCATCAGTGGTGAACCCACCTGCCTCCCAGAGCTTTTCCAAACCTCAGAGCTGGGAGCAGCAGCAGCACAGGTAAGAGCTGGCATGAGAGGGGCCAGTGGGGATGGCTCTGGTTGAAGCAGGAGGGCACCTCCCTACACCTGCACTCTGCCCCAAGGCAGTGGCATGGAAGAGACTCAGAAAAACCCACATCCACAGACCGATTGTCTGCTTGTTTGTATCAGGCTGACTCGCAAAGCCGTGGCCAGCTCGGAGGACAGATGGGGAGATGGGACTGTGTCTCAGCCTCAAGGCCGACTACCCTGGCCAGGGTGCATGGAGTAGACAGGCCGAGGGTGGAGCCGCATGGATGCCCGGAGAGGACATGGAGCCTCTGCGCTCCTGGAAGAGGCGGCATGTCCTTCTTCACTTGGAAGTGGTTAGGGAACGTGTGCAGAGATGTGTGCAGGGGAGATAAAAGTTTCCTGAATGAGGAAAAAGAGCTCTGCCAACACGCCTCATCCTGCCTGTTGCTGTGAACTTTACCCAACACTGCGTCCAATTCACTGGATACAGCCAAAGGGCTCCCTTGGCTCTCCGGGGGCCTGACCATTCTGAAAGGACAAGACTATCGTTCTTTGCAACAACAGGAAGGAAACAGGCAGCAAGCGCTTGCTCCCAGGCCCAGTAACTGCCTCTGGAAAGAGGACCTGCCAGGACCAGGAGGTCCTCAGGTGGTGACCCATCAATTCTGGAAAAGTCCACCAACTTTTCCTTTAGTCTGAGATAGGTGGGGTCAACAGTGCTCCAAAAAACAGCAATGGCATGGGATTGTTTGAACATGAGGGACAACATAAGAAATGGGAGGCAGAGCACACATTTTTAGCTTCTGAGGCAAAAGGCTGAGCTCAAGCAGGCCACTGGGTCTTTACTGGCCCCTCCCTCGGTCCCTTACAGTCCCCTCAACGAGATTTGCTAGGGAAATGGCCTGCAGCCCCTTGCGGGGAACCAGCCTGCCAGTCCTCCCCGCCACCTACAAATCTGGTCAGTAGAGGGCGCTGCACCACCGCGCACTCTCTCTAGCCGGGCTTTGCCACCTGATCCCTGCGTCCACACAAAGACCACACTTGGAAGTACTTCTTAAGCTTGTGCTAGAATCAGAAAAGGGCCCAAGAGCTCAGGGACTCAGGAGTCGTCAGCGGCGGAGGAGAGGGGGCCTGCAGCACAGGGTCTAGGCTGTTAGAGAAGCTTTGTTGCAAAACTGAACACATGCCTAGATCTGTGCGGAGCACTAGAGATAAACAGGTACTGGACGCGGTTCCTGCCCTCAAGGAGTTCACAACATGACCACAACCCAAACTGAAGGCATAATGGCCAAGAAGCAGCAGCATTCAGAGAGGAAATCCCAGCCCAGCCCCAGGGCATTCAGGGAAGGCTTCCTGGGAGAGGAAGCATTTGAGTGGACATCTAAGGCAGGGATCTGAGATGCACCCATTGTACCGGTGTCCACATGAGCACAAAAAAGGAAGGGAAGACGAGAATACCAGTTTAGATTAAAGTCTGGAGCTTAGGGATGTAAGAGAGGTCACAGGGGCTGGCTTTGGAGGCCTTCACCCTGTGGGCCGCTGCAGACCCCCACACGGGAAAACCAGCATACCCCCAGAGAGAAAGCCACCACATCTCTCTGCTGGAGACATGACAGGCCTGAAGCCTCCAGGGAAATAATATACTCATCGTTTCATAAATCTTCACTGGAAATTTTGAGTGACTCGTCTGCATTTCATTTTTTTAAAAGTCAAAGGTACTAGTTGGGAAACAGTACAAAAAGCAAAGATGCCAAAACCCACTGTGCATTAGGAGGCTCCCGGAGCTGTGCATGCCACCTAGAAATTACTGCCCAGTGCCGGAGGAGAGCTTGGGACAGACGGTGGCTTTTACCGGGAAGCATTAATGTAACATTCGATTACCCTACTGCATAGAGGGGGACGTAACGCAATCATATGAGAATACGTCTTACGTGGACTATTCTGACATCTGCCTCACTTGGCAAGTAAAACAAAACTGACCCAATTTCCTTGGAGCTGTAGTAAACCACAACAAGGGTTTCTGCATAAAATATACGAGCCTTATGAACTCTTTGTTCCGATGCAAAGAATCTCCAATTCTACCTGGGTCCCTGTGGCCAGTGTCCTCGGGCCCTCTCGCTTCTGTCACTGGTGACCGCGCTCTCTCGCTGACCGGCAAGCTTCTGGGGAGATTGCTCTTCTCGCTTTAACTGGGAGAACCAATGCTCTTTATCCAACAGAAAGTTACAGCCTGACCGGAGGTGCTGCCCATTTCTAGGCCCTTCCAGACGCTGTGATGTCAATAGGTAGCAGCTGTAACTACTCTCGGGCTATGGCTGTGAGCTAACCGGAGCACAGGTGATGGGCCTGGGCTGAGCCCCAGCGCAGGTGCCAGTGACCACAGCCTGCCGGTGCCCTGGGCGCTGGGAAAGCGCTGCGCTAGCCTGGTACTCCTAAACCAAAGACACCCCACTGTTCAGTCTGCACCTCTGGGAAGCTCACTGGCTTTTCCTGTCTCTTCATGCCAAAGGGAGGCTGAAAACTGCTTGCAAACTTTCAGGCGATTCCAAGTCTAAGTACCTTGTAACTTAGCTAACTAAGTACCTAAGTAACTTCAGGCGGTCAAGTTTTAAGTACCACTAGGGTTTGTGAAACGGTCACGAGAAAAGACCAGATTGTCTTTATGGGGGATGGAGTCCTCTGAGCTGCTGGCTCACGACAGCGACATTCTGCGGTGGGGGGACGGGCGCTCAGCTAGAGCATGCTGAGAGCCAGAGGCTACACCACACTCTCCTCTGTACCTCCTGGAGGGCAGGGTGTGGATTGGGGGGCCCAGGAGGAGCCCCACAATCTGTTCCTGACAGACGCTGTTCATCTCTCTTCACCCACGTGGAAGCTTTTAGACTCCTCACTTGTGTTATATCAATCCCCAAACGGCAATGCCTCGCCAATTCTTGTTTTATTTACTTTTGTAACCCTTTTCTCAAATTTAATCCTTCATGGCGTTTGTTCCTTGCTCTCAAATAATTTACTATTAGTAATGCAAAAGGTTTTTTTTAAATTATTGAACTATGGTTGACTTACAATACTCTATTAGTTTCAGGTGCAAAGCCAACGAAATTGACAATTCTCTGCATCAGGCAACGCTCCCCACAATAAGTTTAAGGGCTGAGAGGGAAGAGTTTTTATGTGACAGGATTCTTTTCACCATCTGCTTTTTGCAGAAAGCGTAGAGACCATCGCTACCTCTGTTACAACTGAAATCAGGTGCAGAGCGACCAGTTTGCTCACCTAAGTTTCTCTGCGCAAATTACTGAAACTGACATGCCCTGAACCCTTTCCCGCTATTCTCTCGAACCAAACTACCCATTTCCTAGTTTGTAGCTCACTGGGAAAAGAAACGATACGAAAATGAACAAAATTACTTACCAACCCTCCAATGAGTTGTTGGCCAAGGCAGAGAAGGAATTCTACCTTCGTACGGCCAGTGTCCCCAACCACGTGGCTATAAATCATGTGTGTGTGCGCGCCGCTATGAGCTCTTTAGAATAGCAAGCCAATTTAAAGTTGCATATTCTGCTATTTTAGGAGGCTGCAGAATACGTACAAAACAGAATACAGAATGGCCTTTACATTCGTGTAAAGCAAACATTTCTAATTGGGTTTTTAAAAATCTCCTCTAACAGTTTATTGCTTCTACACTTTTGGGCACACGCTCAGTGGAGGTGTTCGGAGACCAGAGACCACAGGACTGTAACACGCACAACGGCATAGGACACCACCGACAAGGCCTCACCTGGGAAGGTTGGGGGCCGGGGTGGAAGCAGCTGATGACTGGGAGGGCGTTGTGGGTTGAGATGAGTCATGATTCCTGGGGACTCTGCCCATTCGATACCAGATCCCCATGCTGTTCAGTTCCCTTTAGGAGAAAAGAGAAATCTTCACGGTGTGGTTTAGCACAAAGCATTCACCTGAGCAACAAAGTGAACCAATTCATCTCAAAGAATCACAGCCTCAGATACCGGGGGGTCCACTCTTGCCCACGGTGATCAGTTATGTCACCTCCCTTTGTGCTCTGCATGTCACAGTTCAGAGCCTAATGTGAAGTCAACTGTCCCAACAAGGCAGATTTCTCTGATGGGCCGTCCTCTTTAGCCACCCTGGAGCTGCCTCCCGTAACACAAGTGACATTTTCCTTAGTGCTCAGTCTTCACAATTCTTTTCATTTTGTCATTTCACTGTAGGTAATTATGCAATAATCCATTTCAAGTCCTTTACCTGGTTAGCGTGAGACAAACAGGGCAACAGTGGGCGAATGGATGTGTGTGCCCGGCTTTTAACAATGGGGGGAAGTAGCCCCACCTCGTGCAAGGGCGCACTTCTGGGTAAAGCTCCTACTGCCTGGATGTCCCCAGCGATCGGCCTCATTCTCAGGGTCACTTTGGGAGATATCCTCAAGCCGCAAAGCCTGAGGCATGTGCCCCACAGACCACTACAACCAAGAGTGGTCGGTCACAAAAGGGCTTGACAGATGCCACATCAGGTTTCTTGCTCCATGACACGCACACACACCACAGCCCCACAGCCCCCAATACCCAGTTATGAGTGGTTATGAGACAGGTTTGGTCTTAGGAAGCTGGAATGGGATTATTTTAGCCACATCCAGCTTACAAGTTCTCAGCTGCCCCACGGAACTGCACCTCGTCAAACCACGAGGACAGGCTTCTTCAGTAAATACTTCTAGTACCTTCCCACTACCCTACAGGAGCTCTTCTCAACCATGGACAGGTCTTGTTAGATGGATGATTCTCATCGTCCTCGCTGACTTCATCACATCTTGGCAATGGCCTTGGAGGAGCTGTTCTCCTTCTGAGGTGTCTTCCCGAGCTGACAACGTCAGACTCTTGCAAAGTAAGAGTTGGCTCTTATATGTGCTCATTGTTAAAAAGGTGACTCAGAGTTCTAGACACTGTTCTCCTTCCCTCCTTACAAATAACACTGGGGGTGCCTGGCTGGCTCAGTTGGTGCAGCGTGTGACTCTTGATTTAGGGGTTCTGAGTTTGAGCCCCATGTTCAGTGCCGAGATTACTTAAAAATAAATATTTATAAAAACAATACTGGAATCGTCATCTTCTGAAAAACAATTTTGGCCCCAAGATGATACAAAATACGCTCTATATAGCAATCTTTCCAAAATGATATAAAAGAAAGAAGATTTTAGTTTTGGTTATCAAAATATATATGGTAACAATCTATTCTTTAGAATTATTTAAATTGGTTAAAAATGGAGTCTTTTAAGTACTATAGCTTGTAATAAAAAATACACATATAACTGAAATTAGACTTTAAAAGCTTATTATTGGGGCACCCGGGTGGCTCAGTCAGTTGAGCATCCAACTTCGGCTCAGGGTGTGATCTCACAGTTCGTGGGTTCGAGCCCCGCATTGGGCTCTGTGCTGACAGCTCAGAGCCTGGAGCCTGCTTCGGATTCTGTGTCTCCCTCTCTCTCTGCCCCTTCCCCACTCATGCTCTTTCTCTGTCTCTCAGAAATGAATAAACATGAAAAAAATAAAGTTCATTATTAAATTGTTGATTTCTACTATTTGTATGTAAGTAGCTGCTCCTAAGATATCTGAAGTATGGTCATTCTCTTAACTGTTTCCTCCTCCTGTGATCCTGTTTATATAATTAGTTTAAACCATGTTGCAAAACAGGACTTTTCAGTGTGTAGGAAGGGGACGATCCCAGAGTCCTTCTTAAGGACCACAAACTCCTGAGTCAGGGCCTTCACATTCCTCAGCCGAAGGGTCTGAATGAACTATTGCACCAAGATGAAAACCACGTGTTCCTGAGGCACTTGCTCCCAGAGGCTCCACGCAAACAGCACATCCCCAGCCACTGCCCCCGGGGAGAGCTCCACGGAGGAAGGCTTGGCTTGTAGGGTGAAGACCTGGGCTCAAGTGAACAAGAAGCAAAACGGAGCACAACCCAGATGCAGAGGCCGCTACAAAAGCCAAGGAGGAGAGTGCACCCCTGAGGGCCCGCAGGGATGGGCGTGATACCTGCAAAGTTGGCCCAGGAGTGAGGCCCGTGAGGCCCGTAGCCAGAGGTGCCTAAAACTATCTATGGGACTCACTGGTAGGAGAGACCTGAATTTCACTTGACTGAACACAACAAACACCCCTCATCTTTTGGGCATCCAGTGTCCATTCGCCCTCCTTTCTGACTCTTTGCTTGCCCTCCATATTTGGGGCGCAGCCTTCTCCTCAGTTGTAGCCCCTGGGTTCCAACAGAGCCAATCTCGCCTCCCGCTCAGGCCTGGTTTCTGAGAGAATGACATTTTCCAGGGAGCGATGATGAACTCAGGGTGCACGTGACCCCAGTGAGATCAAGCAAAACCAATGAGACTGAATTCTAGAACTTGTTTGAATTATCAAGAACACAGATTTGTTCTTTGCCTCAGAACTTAAACCTGGAGGAAAAGTAGGCGGAGCTACCACACCACCATTAGTCCACTAGGGAAGAGCGTGTAGAAGAATGGCATCTACCCCAAGGAATCTGGGAAAGGAGGTAAACCGGTTGGGCGGGGGGGGGGGGGGGGGGGGAGAACCAGGTCCTAGTGATGTCCTCTGAGCAACTTCTTCCAGCCACACCTGAAGCCACCCTGTCCGCGGATCCCTGCTGTTATGCTGATCAACAAACTCTTCCTTTGGTTAAGCCAGCCTGGGTTGGGTTTCCTATCACTTACAATCTAGAGCCCAGAGTGAAATCCTGAGACTCCTTGTACTTAGAATTTATAAAACAGCTACAGAGCTGGGCCCACGCCCAGAACTGAGGCTACCTGGTGAACAGGACACAGTGTGCCCAGCCCTTAGCAGTCCTCTGCTTCTCAGGGAAGATGAACATCAGACCAAAGTACTGCATGAGGAATTATCGTGTAGTCATGTAATATTCACGTTTCTTCCTGACGCCGAACCCTCCAACGGCTCCCCACTGCTCGTGGAATAAATTCCAAACTGCCGCCATGGTTGTGCAAGATCCTGCTAAGGGCTTGCCCCAAACCCTGTCTCATCCTTGTCTGCCTGTGCTGGCCACACTGGGCTGCCTTCTGCTCCCGAACAGGCCACACCCATTCCCACCTTTACACTCGCTCTTCTCCTGGGCCCGGGAAGGTTCTGCCTTTTTTTTTTTTTTTTAAATGTTTTATTTATTTCTGAGAGAGAGAGACAGCATGAGCAGGGAAGGGTCAGAGAGAGAGGGAGACACAGAATCAGAAGCAGACTCCAGGCTCTGAGCTATTAGCACAGAGCCCGACGCAGGGCTCGAACCCACGAACCCTGAGATCATGACCTGAACCGAAGTTGGATGCTTAACCGACCGAGCCACCCAGGCGCCCCCGGAAGGCTCTGCCTTCAAGTCTCTGTGTGGCTGGTTTCTTTCTGACATTTACATCTCTGTCAAACATCACCCTCCGGACACCCTCACTGAAGCAGCCTCCATTCACTGCTGTTTCATTTTTGCCATTAACTGAAATGGTCTCATTTATTTCTTGTTTGCTGCCGGTCTCCCCTTTTACAAGACCACCTCCACGAGAGCAGGTCTTTGCTTGCTCCTTCAGCACCATATCCAGGGCCTTTGGCCCGAAGGTACAGAACGGGTGCTCCTTTAACTCTGGTGGGATGAACACACAATGCAGAGGGTTGAGGCCAAGTGGTCAAAAAGGAGCGAATATCTGGGCTTTCAGGTATGTGGAGAGGCCCCCAAGAAGCCTGAAGGACAAACACACAGAAGGACAGGGAAGGAAACGCCCTTAGAAAGGCAGTGTGAGTAGAGGCACACAGAGGTCAGAGGTCAAGGGCTCGGCCTCTGGACCAGCAGCAGCGTAAGCAGGAAGGGCAGCAGTGAGTTCAGGCTGGAGAGGCAGGTGGCCAAGAGCCCCGCGGGTCACACACTGTCTCAGGACCTCATCCCAGGAGTGACCTGAGCGCTCTTGGCAGATAGGAGAGACAAGATGGGCGTTCCTAACACTTACCCGATAAACGTGTACTGTGGAGGGGCCTGCTTCGTCCGGCCCATGATCCGAATGTCACAAATTGCAGCTTCAGTTGAATCCCGCGGGATAAATTTAATGCACAGCCTCTTTTTTCTAAAAGCCACTTCCTCTGAAGAAAAGGACAACAAGAAAAGGTATGAGTCTTCCAGGGATACCAACATGTCTATTCTGAACACCGTGTCCCCTGTCACGTTCCCTTCCTGGCAGCAGAAGCGACCGGTCATCCAAGTCACTGGGCTGCACCCCTCCTGCCCTCCCCAGGCTGGGACTGCAGAGTGGGCACCAGGAGCCCTGCCCTTCATTCGGGACCTGACCCCAGACACCCCTGCTGAGAACGCCTCCCAGGGGTGTACACACCTCTGCAAGGAGAAGCAGCTTGGAATAAACCCGTGGGGCTGGCTTCTAAATGCCACCACCATCATCTGCTCACTGCTTAAGCCATCAGGGACATACTACGGACACCCTGAGTAATGACACTTTTCGCTGTGTGGGCTTTTCTTCTTTTTCACTTTTTATTAAGGAAATTTTCAAACATTCCCCAAAGTAGGGAGAACAACAGAATGAATGACCCCACCTGTTCCCATCATCCAGTTTCAACACCATCAACAATGGACATGCTGCTGCCACCTCTTCCTCCCCCCACACTCTGGGAGTTTTGCTGGAGGATTTAAAATGAATCCTCCCACTGTTATGTCACCCATCAAGGTCTCAGTAGGCATCCATGGCAAATGACTAGTTTCCATAAGACCAGCATGCCATTATCACGGCTAACAAAATGAACAATGCCTCCCCGGTGTCACCAATAGGCGGCCCATATTCAAGTTTTCTCCATTATTCTCAAAAATATCATTGAACTATTGCTTTCTCTGCATCAAGATCCAGTGTCTATGCACTGACTCTGGTTGTGAGGACTCTTAGGTTCCTTTTATTCTGTAACAACCTCTCCACCCTCCCCTCTGCTTCAGGGCGCGGAGAAGTTGGTGCGACTGGGTCATTCTCCTGTATTTCCTGTAAAGTGGCAGTTAGAGTGGAAGGCCTGATTAGATCCAGGTTAGATTTTTGTTTGTTTGTTTCAGGTAGGAATGCTTCACACGTGAGGCATACACATCCGACACTGTCCTATCGTGAGGCCCGGAGTCCCACTGCGCCACTCTGGGTGCCTGTGGTGTCAACCCGGGTACTTGGGCTATAAAGTCCCCAACAACCATTCCTTGAGCAGCGTTTTCATCCACTGAGGATGTAGATCCATAATCTCATTCAAGTTTTCAAGATGGCCATTTTCTAATTCTGGGATGCCTTCTGAATTTATTAGCTGGAAATTCTACATAAAAAAATAACTTCTTCAACTACTTGGTCTCCCTGGAAAAGGCTTGGTACAGGAAAGGAAAGAAAAGTATGTGATTCTTTGCTCTTACTTATGAAGTCTGAGGGCAATGAGCTGGTGATGTAGCAACGTCCAGTGGTGGCCAGCCAGGTGTTTTTTGGTTTGTTCACTTGCGGTTTTTATTTTTTTTTAAGTTTTATTTATTTATTTTGAGAGTGACAGAGAGAGTGAGCTGAGGAGGTGAAGAGAGAAAGGGAGACAGAAAATCTCAAGTAGGCCCTGTGCTGTCAGCTTACAGCCCAACTCAGGGCTCAAACTCATGAACCGCGAGATCATGACCTGAGCCAAAACCAAGAGTTGGATGCTTAATCGACTGAGCCACCCATTTGTGGTTTTTAAAAATGAATTTCAGTCAATTGCAGGGACTCAGTACATGAGTCTGATATATCTGGGTTGAAATCCCAACTCTGCCATCAGCTCCGTGATCTTAGGTGAGTGACCTAATTTCTCTGAGCCTGGGTTTTGTTCTCTGTAAAAGGGAATTAATGAAACCCCACCCCAAAGGGACGGTGGGCAGATGAAATGTGCTAACACATCATATGCTTCACTTAGCCCAGTGCCTGGCACACAGTAAGTGCTCAATAAAGCATGAATGTTCTTATCATCATTATTACCAGTAAACCTCTAACACACAATTTATGTCAGTGTTTGGCATGGTCTTTCAGGACCTTTCAGTTCTGGGGCAGGGAGTATGCACACTCAAATCAGACAAGAGCATGGGGAGGGAAGGACAGTCGTGCCATTGGTCTTGGCCTGACCGAGGGGAGGCTGTCATCAGTGGCATCTTGTAGACTTCGGGGTGGGGAGGGTGCTTTTAGAGAGCCAGGTGGAAACTCAGAAACTCAGTGGGTTCTTTTCCTAGGCAAGGAAACTGAGGGCCTAGATCAGATCTAATGAGCTATGAGTAATAACGTCCCCAATCCAGACCTCAAACATTGTAACTCACGAGGCAGGGGAAAACACCTGTGGCAACCATACCTTCAGGAGCTATTAGCTGGGAAGATCAGACCTTTGACTATTGTGAAGAAGGTAAGACCTTTCCTCAAATAAACGAAAAGGCAGGCACATTACTTGCTTTTGCCACACTGCTCTCTGATCCATTCCTCCATTGATGGCAACTCGGGGTAAGAGATGGAGCCACTAATTACACATGCTTAAACAGGCCTAATTTTAAGTAAACATTATATAGAGTCAATAGAAATGTGTTCAGTCATGCTAATGAACACAGAGAAAGGATACAGCACTTTACTAAAACAAACAGTCTTCCAGTTTTTAAGTACTGTGTGGATAGTAACAAACTATTTTAGATTCATTACAAGAGTCTCATGGAGTTGGTTTTTTTTTGTTTTTGTTTTTGGCTGACTTTATAAAATCAGGGCCTTAAACGCACCAACCGCAAACTGCACAGAGGTGACGACAGGTTTCTCCGGTTGGTCTGGGCTCACCTGGGCCCTGGGAGAAGGCTCTATTCATTTTGTTTACCACAAAATGAATAGGCTCCCTGAATCCCATCTCCCTCCTTGTGTGATAAGACACTTGTTGGTGATGTGATGACCTGCCCTCAGAATGTCCACCGGCAGACATTGGGTGTGACACATCCCCAGTCACGGGGAAAAGGCTCCCCGCCCAGGATCAGGAGGACCCCGCCGCAGCTAGACCATAGGCCCAGAGAAGACGCGGCCCTGGGCCTCCTCACTTAACTAGTTCAACAAATTAAGAAGAAAATGCAGAATGGGAAATCCCTTGCGGCTGTAGAGCGTATCGATATAAAGACATTACAAGTCAATTCGTTGTCAAAAACGAACACCAATGCAAATTCTGAAACTAAGTAAAACACGAGGGAAAAGTGGGAAATGAATACAAGCCGACAAGGCAATTTTAGTTCCTCAGCAGACGAGTCACATCAGAATAAGCAAGAGCAGCAAGCAAACCCTTGTGAAAATGTTCAGGTCTTGCTCACCAATGATGACGAGAAAATTAAATAAAATTAGAATGGTATAAGTGACTAAAAATGTAAAACCTATGCTGACAGGCCTCTGGAAAACAGGAACACGCCTGTCTCATTAGTGGCCCCGGGAACTGGTATTTCTGGAAGTTAATTTGGCAACAAAGAGTACTAAAGCTTATCTTTAAGGGGCTCATCCTCTGAGCAAGGTGCTGTGTCTGGTAGGTGCCTTAGGTGATTCAACGATGAATTATACACGAATCTCACCCTCAGAGAAAAAGGTTAGTAGCAAAGATGCGCATAAGACATACAAGTGGCTAAAATGCAAGCTAAAAACAACATTATGAGGTGTCTACTATTCCCCCCCATTTTATAGATAAGGAAACTGAGGCCCAGAAGGATGAAGTCATTTGCTTGGGTGCTAAAGTAAGTGGCAGAGCCAGACTCAGGATCGGGTGAGTCCGACCCCAGAGCCTAGTGCTTTCCCCCTTCTCCCCCCGCCAAGCCACAGTGCGTCCTGACAGAGAACAGGTGGGAACTGAGAGGCATAAGTGATCACTTCCTTTGGCTCCCGACCACTGCACTGTGGTGCTTACTTCGCTCCCTCCCTCCACTAAACGTGTGTTGTCCCAGCTGTGATGAAAAGTGGCAAAGGAGGCAGCCGGTCCCTGATCTCTGGCTGATGACAGCTCTGGCTGACTACGTTGTGATGCAAGTCCTTGTTTTCAGGGCCAGGTCATCGACCAGGCCGAGCTCCTGGAGGGCAGGACAAATACCTCAGACAGTCACCTTCTTCTCGCAAAGCCTGCGGTGCCTACAGAGGCATTCATCCATCTTTGCTGACTGTGGAGGAGAGAGGGCTTGCTTGAAACTGGTACCTAGGGATCAGAGACGGTTTCATGTAGGGGGCAGAACTGAAGCTCGCCCTTGAAAGATATGGGGTGAGGATGCTCAGAATTGAGCGAAAGGGCATTTCAGGCAAGGAAAACAACAAAGCAAATAGAGTCAGGAAGGAAACAGGAATGAAGAGCGTACAGTGAGGACCTCAGTTTGGGGAAAGTATAGAGTGCTTGAAGGTAAGGAAAATGTCTGGAGAAGAAGGCTGGAGCAGACCAGAGGGGACCTAAAACCCAGTAGTCTCAAGTACTTGGAAACTCAACACAAGAAAATCATTTAAAACCTACACATACCCAAACGGATCTATAGATTCAACATCATTCCTTTCAAAACTAGCTCGCTTCTTTGCAGATATTGACTAATACTAAAATTCATGGAAATTTAGAGGACCCAGAATAGTAAAACTAATCCTGAAAAAGAAGAATGAATTACATTTACGGTCAACTGATCTGCAACAAGGATGCTGAGACAATTCAGTGGGGGGAAAAGAATGATCTTTTCAACAAATCGTGCTAGAACATGACATCCACGTGTGAAAGAATCAAGTTAGACCCCTATCTCACACCGTACACAGAAGTGAACTCAAAATGGATCAAAGCTATAAATATAAGAGCTGAAACTATAAACCCTCAGGAAAAAAACACGGGCAAACATCTAGGTGACCTTGAATTAAGCAATGCTTTCACAGGTAGGACACCTAAAACATAAGCAACAAAGGAAAAAGTAATGAATCAAGCTCCACCAAAATAAAAAGATGTGGGGGTTGGAGAGAAATGGAGAGTGACAGCTTAAGAGTATGGGACATGTTTGGTGATGAAACGTTCCAAAATTAATCATGGTAATAGTTGCCCAGCTCTGTGAATATCCTTGAAACCACTGAAATGTGTACTTCAAACGGGTGAATGATATGGTGGGTGAATTATATATTGACAGAACTGTTACCAAAAAACCCTGATGCATAAACATATAAAATCCATCTGTAAAAGGCACTTAACCACATGATGTTATGGGTGGCATTGGGGGTATCAGCACAGCTGGAGTCTGACTTGCGTGTGTCTTCTAGTTACTCCCCCAGTCGGATCTCGGATAAGCTCTTCAAACACTCAGTAGTTATTGTGCCTCAATTTTCTCATACGTGATGGGTATAATAATACTCATCTCCAAATAGGGGTCTTTTGAAGATTTAGTGAAGTCAGGAACGTAAAGCATTCATCACAGGGGTTAGCATCTGTTAAGTGACATACTACATGTCTGCTATCCTGATTATTAGCTAATACATATATAACAAGTAAAAATAAAACAGTCAAAAGTGAGAGAACTATTAAGAAAATAAAAATACGCTATACAATGGAATCTACTTGTTTCATTAAAAGAATGCTATGGGGAGGGTGCCTGGGTGGCTCAGACATGGGTTGAGTGTCTGACTCTTGATTTCGGCTCAGATCATGATCCCAGGATTGAGCCCCATGGCGGGCTCCATGCAGAGCATGGAGCCTGCTTAAGATTCTCTCTCTCTCTCTCTCTCTCTCTCTCTACTTCTGCCATTCTCCCCTGCTATGTGCTCTCTCTCTACAAAAGAGAAATTTAAAACTGTAATGGCGGGGTGCCTGGGTGGCCAGTTGGTTGAGCATCCAACTTCAACTCAGGTCATGATCTCATGTTTGTGAGTTCAAGCTCCACATCAGGCTCTGTGCTGATAAACAGCTCAGATCCTGGAGCCTGCTTCAGACTTTCTATCTCCCTCTTTTTCTGCCCCTCCCCTGCTCTCAAAAATAAATAAATGTTGAAAATTTTTAGAAAAAAATAATGGTTATGTGGCATCTGTGTAGATATGCCAAGTCTCGTCTATATGAAATGCTAGCAAGAAAACAGCAAAAATATTATGGGCCCCAAATGGGCTAACTATGGAAAAATAAAGTACATATGACAAAGAACACGATCCAGAATTTCACAAATGAATCAAGTGTAAAGAAGAAAGGGTTCTTTGTATTTGTTTTTCACTTGCTGGGGACATCCTAAAGTTGGGACCAGTGATTAAAAATAAAACAAGTTAAGTTATATCAAAATGAGGAGGATCAAATATCCAGAGGTTTCCTAGCATTATTTAATAACTGACGTGAGCAACAAGGACCTCAAAGCACTTCTGATCCTGAAGAAGCTTCTAGTTTGGTCAGGGATGCACTTCTGCTCCGTGTGGCTCGGACATCAGAGTATTCACTCAGAATTGAATCCTGTGTCCTCTAGCGCAGGCTTTCTGGTTCTGGCTTCTCTTGTGTGCTCCATGAGCCAAAAATAAGGACATTATTACACTTGTATTCCCTGGGCGTCTCTGAGTTTCTTCTTCCTTATGCTTCTGGGTCTTGTGCCAAGGTTGGCTTCCATAACACCAGAGGATGGGACTATAACCAGTTTCACCGCTCTGTTCCTGAGTAGGCCGATGCAGCAGGGAGCCCATTGTAAGAGAAAAGGACATTCTGCTCATTTACACGCTGCTCCCCAGCACACCACAAACTCCTTGGAGAACCAACTCAGACACGCGTCAAAAGCAGCAGGGTTTATTCACGGGCGTGCGGCAAGGCCTCCTAAAATGTTCCCAGAGAAATATGCACATACAAAACATCTAAAAATACACCTGGAGAAAGAAAAGTTCCATTGTAATGAGTGGTACTAAAGGGCGACTCACGTGTGTCCACCGTCTCCTGAATGGGGATGAAGCCTACAGGCAGAGTGTCCTTGATGTCAATGAGCTTCATATCCACTAACACGTTCCCTAAATGACTCTTGGGAAGAAAGAAAAGAGATACAGACTATTAATCTGAACCCCCCTGTGGTGGGTTTGCCATTTTGGCTTCGAGATGCATATTTAACACAATGACTTGTGCAGCTTTACGACAGCAGGTTAATTAGAGTAGGTGCCACTTAATGTTCCCCAGCGGTTACACGGGGACTCGCGTGGCCCCCGGGAAGGAGTTTCATCTGCGGCACCTCAAAGCCACTCACTCAGCCACGGCTTTGGTTGATTAGCTAGACAGCAACCCGGGAGATGCTGGAGACATAACCCAGCAGAGGGCGGCTGTGCGCACGCGTCCTGGGACCAGGCTGCCTCTCAGCCTGGAGCTTTGGCGGGGCAGGGCGGTGAGCGACCCAGGGTTTAGAAAGCACACATTCCTGGGCCAGTCACCGCAGCAGGAGAGAGCTGCAGCGGAGCCTAACGGAGAACCAATCACTCCTGAGTGATTGCCGGTCTGCATATTGACACACATTTTGGCTGCTAGATACATTCCATAAAATCCCAAGCATCATAAACTAATACCGAGTGAAAAGCCCTGCTGCCTCAATATTACACATCTCCTAAAATGACATGCACAAGGGCCTCTTAAAATTTCTATTTAGTGGTAGTATATGGGGGTCCGCCATGCGCAGTTTCCGTAACCAGTGCTGAAATATCTCCTGCAGACGGCACACACCATTCCGGAAGTGCAAGAGAGGACCCTCAGCAAACATACCAGATCCGCAGCCCACATTTCCAGCGGAAATGCTCAGTGCCAACAACACTATCTAAGAAAGCATCAGGGCAGTCTTACCATCTAAACTCGATGCTATATTCTCTCTTGGCCACTATTTTCCTTCGTATCAACTTATAATGGCATCTTTGAGGTCAGTTGTTTAATGTCTGTCTCTTCACTGGGGTTCAAGAACCATGAGGACCAAAACTATCTGTCATCACTCTAAATCCAAGCTTAGGACAGTTCTTGGCTCACAGTAGGTGCTCAATAATGATCTGCTGAAAAATTTAATGTTTTGGGAGCACATTTTTAACCAGGTGGACCAGAGTCAGCAATGAGACTGGATTTGCTTGGATGACACATCAAAATGGTAGCAACAAAAACAAAAGTAACAGTAAAAAGAAACATAAAAATGAAAGTATATCTGATAAACACATTAGACACCAAAACTACACCAGTGAAGTACACCCTTCAAGTTTAATTATGAAGGTCAATGTGTCAAGTGCAAACTGTGACCAGTGCTTTCATGGCCCTGTTGTCACAAAACCGCTTCTTTCCCTCAAAACTACCATGTTTGACGACTATTTTATATTATTACATTTCAGGTGAGCTGGGTCTCGGAGAAACCATGCACCGCAGCAAGTGGAAAGTGGAACCTTACTAATGCAGAATAAATCTCCGACCGTGTAGAAAAGGTTTGAACCGTTAACCTAACTCGAAAACATCAGCTGCTTTCAGAATTGCCTGATCTAATCTATCATAATTTTTTTTTCCTCCCCTGGCAGTTGCTTTTCCATGTCATCACTGCTTTCTGCATTGAGAAATTAACAACTGGCTATGTTTTCCTGCCCCGTAGATGGATGGGCATTCATCAATATCCTTCTCAAATGTCTTCTACTTGACAAGTTGGGTTTTACAGAAGTCAACTGCAAACCACTTAGCGACCTCACCCTCCACACTCTCCAAATGTCCCTGATCATAAAACCAGAACATCAGTGGTGTGGCCATTAAAAAAAAGCATCAAAAACCCTCCCGTGCATACAAAACGGGAGGCTGCACTGTCAAAGCTTCCCGCAGCCCAAGTGCGGTCCCTCCGTGCACAGGGCTGCTGCTGTACTGGGTTTAATACAGTAGGTCTGCGACACCATTAATTTTGCTTGTTCCTCTCCCCTCCCCCATCCCGTGCTCTCTTTCATTTCCTCCTCATAAATATGAAGAACGTATTCCCAATCCTTGTTGAGCAAATGATTCATGCCAAAAGCCCAATATGCACTGACTCAGGGTATTTATATTGTCTCTGGTAGCCAGTATTTGCTAGTATACTGTAATTATTTTTGACAACCTTGCATTTAAGGTAGCCACAGATAACCAACTTAATATTCAAATGTTCATAAATCCTTCTGTTTAATATCCTCCCTACCTAATCTATGTACATTATTATTACAGGTAATGCAGAAAGTACAGGGCATGAAAAGTGCAATTAATCTCGATCCTTCCCCAGGAAGCAATGTCACACCAAAGCCAGGTTTCTGTATTAATAGCATTAATGGGGGAAAGGAATTTAGGTTCCAAAGGAGTGTCCCAAAACTCCTACATTGGGAGTCTTGAGCTGCCTAATTAAGACTCTGTCCAGTCTTGAGATCCCACCTCCCTCCTCCTCAGTTGTAAAAAATGACACTATGCAAAGTCCTGGCGGTGACAGCACAACCAGGACAGACTGGCTGTATGGGATTAAAACACACCCCACTCCTCCCGTGCTCCTGGGCTGGCAAGTGGGCCCCTGGCATCCCCTTGTCTGGATAGCTTTGGATCCCACTCCAGGACTCCGTCATTCTTCCTCTGAGAATAAAACGCACCGATTTCCTACACTCCTTGGGAGGGGAGGTGATTTCTCCCCCAGCCCTTTCCTAACACCCTGCCCCCCACGCCCGGCCCTCATGGAGTGAGGCTTGCAAGGTAAACACTCGGTAGTAGCTCTTTAACGTTCAACAGATGCTGATGTACTCGATGCATCTTCTAGAATGTGTAATCACTTACCCACGACACCCAAAATTAACAAGGCTTGGTGACTTGTGTCTTTTTTTAGACTTGTCACCATCCCCAACTCCAAGAGATCCAGGACTCTTTTGGCCTAGACTACAATACCCCGCAGTCTTCGGGGAAATGCAAAAACAAACTAACAAACGATCAAATTAAAAAACCCTAGAAATCAAAAACAATCAAGGAGTTCATCGCTGTCCTCTGAGGCCACAGTTTGGAGCTGCAGCCTCTTCAGTCAGGAGAGGGGGAGGCTGAGCAGGGATCAGTAATGAACACCGTGAGACCAGGGCACGGTGAGTTGTTCAAATCCTCCGGGAGGTCGTCCTTCTCGCCCTAAGCGGCAGTGAAAGCACTGACCTGCGGAAAGTGGCAGCCGGCAGATAGGACAGAGGTGACAAAAGCTAAAAATATAAATCGTTTCAAAAGCGGGTTTAGGTCAACTCCAGGGACAAAGGGGTGGGAGAGTGTACTGAGTGCGGACATGGATGCAGGGTGGAGGCATGGAGCCATGGAGGGGAACCACCCCTAACAGCACGAGCCCAAGTCCGGAAAGGCAACCCAGCCTCCAGACTGCTCCTCAATGTCTCCCAGGGCTGCACCCAGGGTCCTGCTCAGACTCATTCCAGGTGCCACCTTCCCGCCTGCAGAAGGAGTTCCAGCATTTAGTGCCAGGACTGTCCCTGCCCCATTAGAAACTCTGTACTTTACAACAAGCATATATGACTCTCATAATTGGGGGCTTGGGGTGGATTAAAGCAATGGTTTCTGCCCCGGTCCTGAATACATTAGGAAATGATTTTCCGAACAAAGACTTATCAGTAAACAACAGGGATGGCTGGTGGGAGAGCGTGTGAGCCGCAGCACCACGTGACTGTCTACGCAGACCACACTGAAGGGACACACAGCACCCAGGGACAGCACCACAGGCTGTGTGGTACGTGATAGGGACTGCTCCCCTTTCTCACATCTGAATGAGGATGCTTGAAAACAATCGTTTTGTTTTTTAAACCGTAAGCACGTATTACTGTTATCATAAAATTTATAAAAATAAATTAAAAAAAAAACCATCTCCCCCATTTTTTCGCATTAGAAAGAGACAGTAACATGTAGGCCAAAAATACAATGTCACCCTTGAAAATGAAAATCTGACAGCTCCCTGTTTGGGGCTAGGGAAGACAGGTGACCTTAGATAAGCACAAAAACTCTGATTTCAGGAAAGGAGCTAATATTTGAAGAGACTGAGGATGGAAAAGGATCATTTGCAGAGTGCCTATGATAGGCCTCACTCAGAGTAGATCTGTGTAGACACGGAAGCTACTTCCCTTTTTTCTAAGCCACTCATTAAAACACTCTATTGGAAAAGCCTTAATGGATGCCTTTAAAATTTCCCAATTTATGGGCCCAAGAATTAAGCACAGCACACTGAAAGAAATCTGCACACGTGGTGGACACCTACCTGCAGACACAATGAAACGTCAAATGTCAGAGACTCAGGGAGAAAGTCAGGCATTTGGGAAACCAGGCCGTGTCTGGGAAAAGAGCCTGCTTCTGTTTATTGGCCAGCTTTAAATACAGCTGCACTGGCAAACCCTCACGTCCACGCTACCCTGTGATTTGTGACTTACAGGAAAGGTAGGCAAATGAGGGCTGGGAGAGAAATTTCCTGGTTCCCTTTCGAGAGCACATTTTAATGGAATTCACTGTACACTTGGGTACGTGGTTAATAATACCGTTAATAAATGAAACACAGCGCTGGCTGCTGATTTCTACCCTGTTCACTAAAACTGCAGATTAATATGGCAATGAAAATAAACCACAACAACAACAACAAAAAAAAAAAAAAAAAAAGAGGAAATTTCAACCAGTCACATAAATGCCTTGTGTGCCCTCAGCAAACGGACACCACTACCAGACTTACATTTTCTTTGGAAAATGATCTCGTGAAACACAGGTATCTGGTAACCTTGGATTTAAATAAGCCGTCTTTCCAGAGGTCAGCATCCACACCATCTGCTGTCTGTGCAACCTACACCAAAGAGACACAGAAAAAGAGCGCAGGTAAGGCAGGCTGGAAACGGAGGTGTGCGTGAGCATCTTCTTCATACCTGTGCCAATTAACACTGGCCTGAACTCTCATGGCATCTCATTAGTTCATTTCACTAGGCCCTGGGAAGAGATTTTCCAAAAGGGGAAAAGAGAGAATGTGAAAAATACAACTTCTAAAAATAATGTCCCCAGGGAAGCCATTGATTAAAGACACCCTGACAAAAATGGTTCTAATGAGAAAAGAGCAACTTTTGTTGCAATGGACCAAGAAGGGATTGGAGAAGTCAGCACATTAAGTTCCTCATTACCACTCACTCGGGGGACGGTACGGGGTGCAGAAAAAAGTCCAATGGGCTGTGAAATGCCACCTGAGAGCAGCACCGCCTGCTCCAGAGCCCTGGGGCCAGCCAGGGTGCTTTGTCAAGGGGACCCGAGTGGGGGGCTGGGGGCGAGGTGCCAGGGAAACCCGCTCATTGCTGTGTCTCCTTCACATGCAAGCTCCGCGAGTGGTACTCAAGGTCGGAAACTGTATCATGATGGAAAAATAAAAAAGATTCAGCTCCTTGTTTATGGTCTCACTAAGAAGCCATTTCTGCGTCCACAGATACAGAGGTGTTCCTCTCAGAAGCGCTCAAGCATGAAGCCAGCCTTGATCTGAGTCCTAAAGGACTGTGTACTGGGCCACAGCAGGGGGCTTAGTGTGAAGGCCCTGGCTTTGGGGCAAACTGCTGACAACAAGATTGGAGAGCAGGAGAGGAATGGCTGGATGAGGACAGCATTCCCCCCCCCTCCCTATTTCTTTCCAGACCGTTCTATTCACAGACCGCAGCGGCTTGCTCTGCTGTCTCGCTCAATGGCCCCATAGCATCCCAAGGGGGCAGCATCCTGAGGGGGCACATCTGGGAAGACTGAGGGAGCAGCGCCCTATTTCAGGCTGAGCTCCAAAATGATCTCCTCTCTACTGTTTCCATGGTCGTCCTATTGAGCCTCAGACTTCGGGAGGCAGTTCTGGATCTGACAAACCCCTGAAAGCAAACCTCCATTCGTGGCACAAAAACTGCCTGGACTCAGCCGCATGCCATGTACACACTGCACAGCACGCCAACGGCCTCTGGCTGTCACGTGCATGGGGCGGGAGCGTGGGGGGCATCCCCAGGGCCCCCCACAGCCACATTCTCAGAGGCTGCCTCGGAGAAGCCCAAAGGCCAACTAGCAAAAGAAAAATGCCTTTTTTCCCCCAGACTGAACAATCGTAAATTAGCAAGTGGAACACAAGAAAAAGAAAGGTCCTTATGCTACATGTGCAAATATGTTTGACCTAAACTGTGGGGGACGAATGGTATGGGGATAATGTCAGGAACCATTGGCTCCAAGTGTGTCACCCCCTCAGAAAGGGACGACCTGGAACGGCATCAGGCCTCATCAGCACTTTTCCCCACAACGGTCTTACAGAAAGTCTCTTGGAGAGCATGAGCCTTAAGGCAGGGGGCCCTCACTCTCTACCACCAAGCATCCCTTTTGTTCGTTTTCTCCTGGGGATTCCATGTTCAGAAAGATTTTCATTTCCCAAACTGTACTTTTCTGGTACTTCCTCAATTCTAGGGGGTAGTCACTTGGGAATCACTCAGGGATGGAAAGAATAACCCTTCAGGGAAAAAAAGAGATCGAATATCAAACTGTACAGATCTATTTTCAGATGCATCCCAATTTCAGAACCAGGAAGACGTGAAAATAAAAGCTGCTAGAGGAACAAAGAAATAAGGGAACCTAGATAAACCATGGTTTCTCTGTAATAAATGCCTTATTTTTGATACATTAAAAAAAAAAGTCTGCAGAACACTGAAAGGCTGCGGAATCCCACGCTGGGACCTCAGAAAACAGAGCTGTCTTTAACCTCCCACCAGAAGGGTATGGAGTTCAGAAGGACTCTCCTGGACAAACTGAGGACTGATGGGGGTGGGGGGAGGGGAAGAGGGGTGATGGGCATGGAGGAGGGCACTTGTGGGAATGAACACTGGGTGTTATACGGAAACCAACTTGACAATAAACTATTAAAATGGAAGGGCTCTCTTGGATATTTGGACATTCACGGAGCGGGGGGGATACCCTAAATCAAGACTATTGTCTCCAGGGCTTGAAAAGGATGGTTCCCCCTCTGCTCACCCCACTGCCTGAATTTTCCTTTTACTGGGTGGGAAGACACCTCACTATGATGAAGAGGACGGTGCAAGTGTGTAAAGAGAACAGGTGCGCAGCAGGCCTGCCCCTTGCCTCGGAGGCCCAGGCAGTTACAGTCCTCCAACCTGCACTGGAGGCATTGAAAATAGACAAGCAAAGGCCTGGCTTTGCCCTGAGGCCACAACTCACTGACAATGAAGTAAAAATGTGTGATGCCCTCCAAACCCAACCAACGGGAGGTGAGGAGGGTAGTGAGAGAGAGAGGGAGGGAGAGAAGGAGGGAGAGAGAAAGAGCGCAAGCACATGTGTGTATACACGTGTGTGTGTGTGTGCGCGCGCGCACGCGCGTGAGTGCAAGTGTCTGGGCAGAACACAGAGGTGCCCAGAGCCTGGACCCACATAGGGGATGGACTGGAACAAGGAGCGAGAAGGTCCCGGGTCCCGGCTCATCAGCAGCATAAGGAAGTGGTCCAGGTCTAACAAGGCTGGGCATTCCCAGCCTCACCTTCCCTGTGACCGTAAGATGTACCCAGAAGCCTCTTTCCAATACAGTCACTTAAAGGTATTTATGAACCTTAATGCGTATGTCCCAAGCTAAATGCGCTAACGAGCTACATGAGAAGTTACATGTGAGGCGGGCAGCTGAGCAGGCGCCCCTGCAGAAACTCACGCTTCAGCTCTGACCGTGAGAACTCGGTGGGCAGCCTCCGAATCCCGGGGTGGGAGAGGCCGTGGGGAGGTGGGCCGAGCTGCAGGAAGAGGTGCCCCAGGCGCGGCGCAACCCATGAAATGAAAAGGCAGACTTGAACTTGACATGGATGGGTTAAGCAAGCCCCTCCTCCTGGGGACGCTGCAGTAACAGATGATGTACGTGCAAAGCATCTGCCTCAGTGCTCTGCGGGGAGCACCCACGGAGCCAGCGCTAACACGTCTAAACTGAAAATGAGGACAGCTGGTCTGACATGGAAGCACACCTTTCAAGTGACGTCATGCTACATCAAGATTCAAAAAGTCCTAAACACTGGGGTTCAGCTGGTCCACTGGGATTCCTTCCCCATCTCTGGGACTAGATTTGGTCTTCAAACACGAATTATATACAAGTGCACTTAATGTTTACCTGCCCCCTACTATCCTGCCACTGGACTGTGAGCGTCACAAGGAAAAGCGCAACTGCCATCCACCCCCTGCACTAAACATAGTGCCTGATACATAGGGACTCAACCAAAGCTTGTTGAAGGAATGAACGCATCAGCCACTCAATCGGGGCAAAATGTGAAAAGCCACATACCTTGCTAGCTACCCAAATAAGGTAATCAAACAATTTTAGGGGCGCCTGGTGGCTGAGTAGGCTGGGCAGCCGACTTCAGCTCAGGCCAAGATCTCGCGGTCTGTGAGTTCGAGCCCCGCGTCGGGCTCTGTGCTGACAGCTCAGAGCCTGGAGCCTGCTTTGGATTCTGTGACTCCCTCTCTCTCTGCCCCTCTCCCACTCAAGCTCTGTCTCTCTCTGTCTCAAATATAAAATAAATATTTAAAAAATTTTTTAAATGAAGTTTCTAGGATTTAATAATCCCTTGAGCTGAATGTATCGCCTCCATAATCCCCACTCAACGAGGTCCCTTATTCTTTGGGTTATCTTGTTTGTACCCCGCCCTCCGCCCCAAATCACTGGAGGATATGCAATGCTGCTGCTGAGTGCAATGCTCAGAGTGTCTGTTAAAGGGCTTCACGCGGGCACACACACACGCATGCATGCACATGCACACCTTGTTCGCTCTTATACACACTCACTCTTCCAAGCCCTCCCTGTCTTTCCAGCACCTCCCTGGGTGCAGGAGCTGCCTCTGGGAGGGGTAGGTGGGCGGTGGCAGACTGGAAACATGGGTCTGTCTCCCTTCTCTGCCAATGTTCTTCTCAAATGACAGCCACGTGGAGAAGCATGAACACACTGAAATACAGAGCAGGAGAAAAGTATGATGCAAGAGAGAGGTCAACAGCCATCTGGAGATGTGGGAAGTGAAAGCCTGAGATTTAGCAGAGTGGAGGGTCTAAGGACTTGCACCCCAGAACCCAGGGCCGGGAGCCACCAGATACCACTGGGGATGAAGGTATAGAGTTTAGAGCTGAAACAGGAAGATTAGAACAAGGTCTATAAACACAGCGGTCACACTCCCAGATCCCCAGCCCCATTTCAGATGTTATTTTCTGCAGAAATGGAACCAGTAAGGTTCAGGACTCCAGAACACCAGGAGGAAGTAGACTCCAGACTGAAGACTGTGCACACCTCAGCAGCCAGGTATACCCCCTAACACTGAGCATCAGAGGATTTGTTTCCGGAGATGCTAAAGCGTGCCAGAGAGTAGACCAGCACATACAGACTCCAGGGTTCTCCTGTTACAAATGCTACTTCCCTGCTACATCACCTGTACACCACCCACCAGCCCACAGGCCTCACCCCGACCTGGGCACTCCAACCCCACTAACTAGTGCCTCGCTCTTAAATATAAACTGACACCAAAGGATCACCAGGTGCTGAAGGTAAGGCTCAAATATGAAAGATAGGGTCCAAATTAGAATAACAGGCATTTAGGGGCACCTGGGTGGCTCAGTTGGTTAAGCATCCGACTTCAGCTCAGGTCATAATCTTGTGGTTCGTGAGTTAGAGCCCCGCGTTGGGTTCTGTGCTGACAGCTCAGAGCCTGGAGCCTGCTTAGGATTCTGTGTCTCCCTCTCTCTCTGCCTTTCCCCCAAGTCACACTCTCTCTCTTTCAAAAATAAATAAACAACAACAAAAAAATCAAAATC